TTGTAATATTTGATAAAAACATTATTAAATTTTTAAGAAATAGTTAGGAAAGAAAACAGTAAGCAAACATATACCTGTTCACTTTCATTCATATGACTGATTATGATGGTGAATGAAAATGAATTTACTGTCATTTGAATGAAAATGAGTAAAAGATTCCGTCATTTCGGATGAATAACTGTGAATGAAGAATTTATCACTCATTTTATTTTTCACCCTATGCTCAATACATATGGGGAGAAGTAAGAAATGAAGCCAGATGAAGTTAAATAAAATGAGTTTGAAAGAAACTGACTGAATCTGAATGAAACCCTTAAGTCAAAAATCGGGATGACTGAACTTTGAATGAAAAAAGTTTTTTGAACAGGTATGAGTAAACAGTAAATAAACTAATTTCCCAGCATTTTTACATTATATTTCAATAGATTTAATGCTCAAAACTTCAATCGTAAAAATATTCACAGAGCTTATATATTTTTACAAGATGGGTAATTTTGTATGACCAAAAAGTCGTAAATTTAATTTTGTGAAAAGAAACAAAACAATTGTGCAATTGCAGATTAGAGATTATTTTGACTGTTTACCTAAATTTGCATTTAATTACAAAGGACACCTACGAACTTCCCCTTTTTTACGGCCCCTTAGAGACGATTTCGCTCCAAAATCCCCGGCCCCTTTATTTGCTCAATTTTTCGAGTATTTAAATATAGTAACTTGGTGATTTACAGCTAAATAATCAAAGGTTTAGATTTTAGCCCGAACCATGGCTTTATATGTCGTCATGTCTGTTTGTCTGTCTGTATTTCGATAACTTTAATACATTGACCGATTTAAACCAAATTTGGTAACAACATTTGTCTGCATAATGCAACAACCAAGTTAAAAGATGGGGTCGATCAAAAAGTAATTGGACCGATGGGGGTCAAATACATACATACATGTCAGGTGGGGTCGTTGATGCATAGTTTTCCAAATAGTCATATGAGGCATATTCGAAAATTCGAATTCTAGAATTCGGTACAATTGTCCTAATGTAAATATAATGTCGTAACGTAAGGGGCATCAAGAGTTTTTTTATTGGAGGTACCCGACCCATACCGATTTTCAGACATTATCTTAAAAAGCCGAAATTCGGTACCGTGATACCTAATGGCTTCTCATGGACGATTATGAAGTTAAAAGTGAGCAAAGTGTGACCACAGATTAAATATGTATATGCAAATATGTATTTAAGTGTTCGATTTTTCGCCGTGGTAGGGATTTTTGACCCGAAACCTGTTCTTAGAAAAAAATCCAGTGGCCGTCGGAAAAATCGTACACCGTCGTACGATTGCTCATTTTTTCTTCTAAATACATGTCGCATCCATTAAAAACAACTCATTGTTAGTGTTTTGATTATTTTTTGCAATGGTAAAATACGAAACGAAGAAAAAACAAGGGGTCAAGTCAAGGATGCTTGACAACTTTAACAATACTTCCAAGGTTGAGACAATTTCTTAGAAAACCCTAATTTTCGAAAAGCCTGGAGTCTTTTGACTCTAATGTGCGCCGCACAAATTTTCACCCACAAAATAAAACGCCCAAAAATTGCCAACACTCACATTTCGTTCGTTTGAATTAATTTTTTCACCATGGGCACAAGAATTAATGCACTTGTAAATGTAAAGCCGGTTATTTCGGCGCTCCAGCAGAAATGTGTGTGCTTTTTTATCGTTAGCGACGGCCAAAATGCCTGGAGTATTAGCACTTCAACACTCTCAATAATTTTTTGACAAAATTGTTACCTGCGGAGATACTATGCAACTCTACCGCGTGGTAACACTATGGTAACAAATTGTCTTCTGGGGGTAAGAAATTGTCTCCGGTATCGGTAATATTTTTATTACCTGAGCGTTGACAATGGGGGTCGCGCAGGATTTAGCCTCTGTATATATGCTACCCTTCGGTGATAAATTATTACCCGAGCGGAAGAGTTGCATAGTACCTCCGCCGGTAGCAATATCTTCAAAAAATTATTGAGAGTGAACAATAGAGGTTTTTGAGGTCACGGGAGCAACTGTCGTAACCTTGTATTATGTAGTCAAGCTTCGTAAAAATTGTGACGCGATTTTTATGACAAAATCTTACAATACTTGCAAAATCTCGTAACCGTCGTAATTTATTTTGCAATACCAAGAATACTAAAGATAAGGATGCGAAGAAATAATGAATACCCTCACTGTAAAGTTTTAAAAAAGTTATCCACAATTTTTTTGACACCAAATTTTTTCAAAAAAATAATTCTGACCTATCTGAGACATTAAAAATTACCAACGACTAACGAGGAAATTGTCGGCAGATACTTTTGACCTCTGTGTACAACTACGTACTGTAGGTCTGTAAGTTGAGATTTTTTAATCCAGTGCATAAAAGTGCTTGTTTCTGTCCAGTTAAATTGGTTCGGTCGAAGCAGAATTTACTTGGAATTATTTGTTTCACCCTAGTGCTACATTTTGTTCCTACGGTTTATTTCCTAATAAATCTTGGTTCGGGCTACGCGAAGCTATTTTGGGAGATATTTTGATTTTTAATTTGTGCATGATTTTGTTGTTAGCAACGACGTGGTGAGCACATTTTGGCGTAAATTTTCATAAAAAACCCCCTCGGGATTTTGGCCATACCTCGGAAAGTCCAACGAGCTCCCCTCCAGATTTTTTAAATTGTGATTAGAAAGACTTAATACATAATTATGCAAAATTTTGAAGGGGAGCTCGATGGACTTTTCCTGAAATAAATTTCCAAACTTATGCATTTTTTGGGCCAGTAACTAGGTCAAGTCCTAAGGTGTCCTTTGGATTTCGATTTGGATTTCGCTTGGAAACTTTGAGAATTTAAATTTTGCATGATACAAACTTCGTTAGGAATGCTTTTATGAAAACCAACCCGCTACATACATATTTGTAATGTTTACTAAGAACATTGTTAAATTTGTAAGAAATATTTACGAAATAAAACAGTAAGTAAACAGTAAATTTATTTAACTAAAAGGTCTTGCAGTTTAAGTTAGACATTTGTTTGCTTAAAATCTTTTTGTTTGCTTAAAATCTTTGAAACATTACCAAAAGTTATATATTATTAAAAATAAATAATTAAATAGTAATTATATTTGCAAATTTTTGAAATAATAGGTTTAATATTGTATGACTAAACCGTCAGAAACAAAATTTTGCGAAAAAATAGTTGAAAAATCAAATTTGAGATTCATTAATTCAATGACTTTGAGTAAATTTATTCGGGAATGGTTTTGTAGTTCAAATTTGAAACTTTTTTTAAGAAATATTTACGAAAGAAAACAGTAATATGAATATTCCGAGCATTTTTACATTATATTTCAATATATTTAATGTTCAAAACTTCAATCGTCAAAGTATTGACAGAAATTACGTAGTTTCGAAAAAATGGATAATTTTGTATGTATGACCAAAAAGTCATAAATCATATTTTGTAATTTTGCAATTTAAATTCTACAAGGAACTATGCAGATTTTTATGAAAACTAGAGGAATTTTGTATTTATCTTTAATATTTGTGACAAAATGATCAAATTTTTAAGAAATGTTTACGAAATAAAGAAACTGAATGTATTGGGACGTACTTTTCTCAAAATTGTTTTTTGTTATAAGACTAATGCTCAAAATATTTTGGAACTTCATAATTGTTTTTTTTAATCAGTGAATAATTAATAACTTTATATAATTTTGAAAAAATAGCGGAAATATTTACATATTTTTAGTATTCTACCATTAAAACGTCGGAAATAAAATTTTGCCAAAAGTAATAATGTAATTCTTAAGTTGGAGATTAGCGAGGAAGAATCATATTTTTAAAATTTCGATAATTTCAGTTTCAGTTCAACAAGTAATCTACCAGATATTTCAGAAGATTTTTATGGAAATCAATGAATTACGGATGACAAATCTGCAGGTAATATTCAAAATTTCAATTGTCAACTTGGTCAAAATATTGAATTTTTATACTTTGTTTATACATTTTGTATATTTGTGTTTTTTTGTATATAGATCGGAAAAGATTTAAAGAATTTTGAATACAAATTTCCCGTTTACAAATCTTATTTGCACAAAATTTGGACAAGGATATTAATTTATATAGAAATTCTGGCAAAAATCGGGCTTGCATAAAATATTTTCGGACATGCACAACTAAAATAAATAATTTGAACTATACATAAAATATTTTTTTTAACTGCAAAATTAAGGGTTAAAATTTCCTGGATTAATTAGCTGAAAAAAATTGCATAAAATATAATTTCGTTTTTTTAACATGTTGAAAAATGTTAAGAATTTTTTTTCCCGTAGGAGTTGCACGTCATTTACGACAATTAATGGAAATAAGGATATAATAAAACATAACGCAAATTCGACGACCGGTCTAACGTTATCTCATATGCAGTACCCGCGGAAGCCATGGGGACATCTGGGGACATTGTGAGGGAGGAATCTATATGACATGAGCAGATGGTGGGACATTGTCCCTATGCCCCCCGCTTGTGCGGCCACTGTACCTTGTTTATACATCTGAGTAGTCTGAATTCACAATTCACCCAGTGGCTGCGGATGCCGTGGGGACATATGGAGATATTAGCACTGTAGGATAGGGGAGAGACGGGTTTAAATAAGATGGGAGGATGATGAGGGCATCGAACAACCGTAGGGACATTGTCCCTACGTTTCCGCGGTCACTGGTAGTATGCGAGTTAGTGACAAACCGGAAGTGGTAAAACTCGATATTCATATTACTGATAAAAAGCTAGTAATACACACTTATGTTTTTACGTAGTGTATTCTCTCATAGCTCATTAAATTCTAGTTAAACTCGTAAAGACTATTTATTTGCATAATTATTCCAGATTTAAATAAATAATGGATCACGACAAGGAGTTTAAGCACGTGCGAAAATATGTCGTCACATTTAAATCAGTAGCTTTCATATCGCTGGTAAGTATTTGTAATTAATTGATCAGTTAATTTTGATGGAATAATTATGTTAAAATATTTTTTAATATTCGTAATATTGAACTAATATTCGTAAAGTTGTAAAAGATAGACATAAAAGACCTTCGTAAATTAGAGTAAATTATACTTTTGTAAAGTTTGCCCAATTTACGAAGTTTACCAAAAAGTTGCGAAGCTGAACGATAAACTTTTTAGTAAGAATGGGATTTTTGTAAACCTCGTATATGTCATACATAAATTTACGCTATTTACAAAGTTGCGAAGGTGACGTGAAAGAAAACCCTCTTCGTTAAATTTAAGCTATTTACGATGTTTACCAAAAATGTGTCGTGAAAACTAGAGGTGAGCTGGATATCCATTTTTTTGGATAATGCATGGCCCGATCCGATCCAACTGGATTTGGATGGATTGGATCTGAAATTTTTTGGGTGAAATGGATTTGGATGGATTGGATCTGAAATTTTTTGGGCCAATTGGATTTGGATGGATTGGATCTGAAAATTTTTGGGCCAATTGGATTTGGATGGATTGGATCAGGGTGGATTGGATATGGTCGGTTTGGATAAAATTTCCTCAACACACAGCTTATGCCGGAGTACATTTTTCATGAATCCAATGCTGCCCCGAAAACTAACCGGCCCATTTCTTTATTGGCATAGCATGCCACACAAGAGCCACATATCCAGTCCCAATAAAATTTACTCTAACATAACACGGTTTAACTTGAAGACTGAGTCTTATTTTAAATTAATAGAGGTTATTAATCTGAATGTATGAGAAGTTAAGGTGAGTAATTACACTACTCATTAATTTTTTATTGAATAGTCAGAAATAATTAACCACTTTTCAAATACAGGAAATGACTTCTTTTGGTGGATCACCAGCTCTCGACGTCGAGACGGTCCACGTGGAGGCAGAAGCAATTTCTCAAGAGACGATTCAAATTCAAGGCGAAACCAGTCAGAATTCCATTATAAACTTTTCCAGAGACGTCATCCTTGGGTTATGGGCACAACATAGCACTCGGTTATCATTTGTGGACAAGTCTGTCAGCAGATTGAAATCATTAGACTACTGGAAAAATTTTCAAGTAGTTCAAATGGATCAAGTCGCAGTTGACTACGTTAAGTGCAAATTGTGCAATGCAATTTATACCTGGAATAAGAAATCGGGAACCAGTAATCTTAAAAATCATTCATGTCTTCACAGCGACGTCGCTGGAACCAAGAAGAACAGCACTCAAGATCCAAACCAGAAAAAAATTACATCATTTTCGAAGAAATCTTTGCCCATCAAATGCATTGACGAATTAAATGAATGCATCGTAGTTGGACTTGCTCAAGATTTGAAGCCACTACGAATGGTGGAAGCGAGAGGATTTAGGAGAATCACACAAGCTTTGGTCAATTTTGGAGCCACTCATGGACGTCAAGATATATCTAATATTCTTCAGCATCGTACGACCTTAAAACGAAAACATTTACCAAAAATTGTGGCTGAAAAAGAGGACTCAGTGAGATGTGCTTTGAAGACGACGTCGTCTTATCCCAAGTTCTCCTTCACATTGGACATGTGGTCCGACAAGCATCAACAAAGGCAATTTCTTTCACTCTCAATTCACTTTATCGACAATGAATGGAATTTGAGGAGTCACATGATGGCAGTCGAAGAGTTCAAAGAATCTTTTAAATCCACCCAGAATATTCGCTCCCACGTTCATAGAATCCTATCAAAATACTTTGGTCACGAACAAGGTGAAGAGATTATGTCAGCGTCATTCGCAGTGACGGATGGGGGAAGCAATATGATCAACATATTTGATCATAGGTTGCCTTGTATGTGTCACCGCCTTAATTTAATAGTTCAGTGGACACTTAATCAAAAACAAATTCCATCTGTCGAAAAAATACAGGAACGAATCGAGAAGGGAAATCCAATTAGTGAAAAGAAACTATTCAATTTACAAACTCACTGCCCCAAAACCAAGGACGTCCTTGGCGATTTGAAAAAACTCGTAGAATATTTTAAAAAGGCAGGACTCAACATCAATCCTCCCATTAGTTTGAAGCAGGATGTTGATACTCGTTGGAACAGCCAGCTCATGATGTTAGAGTCATACGCCCGCTCGTCTGAGGAAGTGAAGAAGATTCTCTTAGAAAAGAAAAAGCTGGACAAGGTCAACAATATTCATGACGACGTCGTCAGCTAATTAATTAAATTTCTGAAGCCACTAAGCGAGTGTTCAGATGTATTTAGTGGCGACAAAAACCCGACGTTCCAATGTATTGTCCTTTGGTTCCATAAGATACAAGAACATCTTAAAATAACAGACAAGGATTCTAAAGAGATAAAAAGTTTGAAAGCTCAATCTCAGAATTGCTTAGCAGAATACTGGACCCCAAAACCAATTTACTATGCCGCATGCATGTTAGATCCTAGGTAAGACATTGCCCTATTCTTGATTTCATAGATTGTACTGACAAACGAAATGATATAAAATTATGATGTTATAAAGATATAGAAAACTCAAGTTTGCCGACGAGGATGCGAAACAACAAGCACGTGACTGTCTTAGGAACTATATGGCAGTTGAACGTTCAACTTGTTCTTCCCCTGACCTTCATCAGTCGACGTCGACTGAGGCCCTGTCCATACAACCCTCCGCCCCAAAACGTGGACGATTTTCGGAGCTGGAGGACTCAGATGAAGAAGTTGAGGAACTTGACGAATTGGATAGCTATTTGATCTATGTTTTCAAAAATCCTCTGCCGTTAAGTAAGTTTAATTTTTACAAAAATGATACTCGACTTATAATTTATGATGTGAATAATAATTTATGATGAACAATGAATGAATATTTCTTTAACGTTAGATGCGGACGGAACATTCGATATTTTACAATTTTGGCGCGAAACCACTGAATTTCCAATGTTACGAAAAGTGGCGAAATGGCTTCTGGCAATTCCAGCATCGCAAGCCAGTGATGAGCGGGTGTTTTCGAGCACTGGGTCGACGTTATCTGTGAGGCGAACCGAACTGAGTGGAACAACTCTTTCCCAATTGACATTTATTCATAAGAATTGTTAAATTGTTAAACAAGTAGATCTATTAGAAATAATTAATAATGGTGACAATATAAGAATTATTTGCTTAAATGTGTAAAACCAAGGCTAAATAAAAATTGGTTGAAAGTTTTATACAATTGCAAATCTTCATTGGACGTCCAATGCTTAAAGAAAAATTTTTACAGCGTCGTCTAAAGATCCTCGGCATTGTGGACAATTATTCAGAACACGAATTGGGAATCCAGGGTGAACTTGTCCAGTGTCCTCATCGGTCCATGGAATTCCTTCGGCGAAACGCTCTTGTCGAAGTCCATTCATACAAGCTCCGCAAAAGCAGTGCCCACATCTTAGTGCCCAAGCTTTAGGCTCATTCTCACACAATGAACACGCAATCTGTTGAATTAATTACCAAATTTTAATTATGCGCTACTAACTGACTTAGAAAAATATAGCAATAATAATACTATTTATTTATCTTTCTCCAGTTTTCATCAGCCCCGTTTATCTTTTTCATGGAATTTTTCCATTTTTCATCCAGTATATTCGATTCCGTCTTAATAACTTGCAGATCTTCTTCGATGTAAAGGTATTCAAATTTTTGTATCCAATCAAATAGTTCAGTTTTCTTATTATTCATCAGCTTTTTCTCAGCCTCAAACACCAATGGACGTCCATTGCTTTGAGGAATACATTGATCTATCCACGATGAAATGCAGCCAATAGAATCTATTATCTTTGATAGCATAGTCTGTGCAATTTTCAGGTTGTTGATAGAAACGTAGCTGTCATTGTTCAATTTTTTACTCAATTCATTGATATCTTCCCACCGGTGAAAGGAAATAATAACTTCGTCATCGTCAGGCCAAATTACTCTGGACTAAAATTCAAAGTTAACTTGAATTCAAACTTTATTAGGCACACATTCATATTATAATTGTGTTACCTTTTTAATAATCCATCCGATTTGTCGACACTTTTTAGATATAATAGCTAAGTCATCCCTCATCTGCTTCAAGTTTAGGTGACAAATTCGCGCACTATCGACGTCGGTAGTTAAACTAATATTTTTAATGCGTTTTAAGCTATCGTGTATATTTTCCAAGCAATCCATTAATCTTGAGGTTTCTTCTTGTACAAGAGATAACTATATTATTGGAATTGTAAGTGGTTTCATTAGGTCGGCAATTAATATTGATACTTATCCTTAGTTAGAAAATACCTTTGGGAGTGGAGCTGTTCGAGCTGCGTTTATAGCAGCCATTTTTATATTCTGTGGTGTCGAATTTCGATTACTGGCACCACTAGCCCACCTACTCTTCTGTATTTCTTTCTTTGCTTTATTTTTACTGTCGACGTCGACATGGGCGTTGCACTTTCTAGCGTGGTGGGTCGGATCCCCGCAAACCCAGCACGAATCATCCATGCTATAAAACTATGAAGAAAGAAACTTATTAAAATCAATCGGTTCAACTGATAAAGCTAATTATGCAAAAGAACCTCACCGTATCACTCAATAATTTCCTCTACGATTTTTAATAGTTCTATTTTTAATTAAGTGCACTTAAATTGTCAGTGTCACACACACACTACTTAATAAGTAAAAAAACAGCTGCCTGCGACTACTGTAAGATTGCGCACAATAGGGGTGATTTGAGATACATAAGTTAATGTATTTCACCTGCGTATTTCTTAATGAGTTTAAGTTGATCGGATCAGAAATTTTTATGAATGAATGAGTCGCATTTGGATGGATTGGATCTGAATTTTTTTGGGCCAATTGGATTTGGATGGATTGGATCTGAAATTTTTTGGGCCAATTGGATTTGGATGGATTGGATCTGAAATTTTTTGGGCTAGTTGGATTTGGGTGGATCGGATCGAAAAAAATTTGGGCCAACTGGATTTGGATGGATTGGATCTCAAATTTTTTGGGCCAATAGGATTTGGATGGATTGGATCTGAAAATTTTGGGGCGAAACGGATTTGGATGGATTGGATCTTAATTTTTCTGGTTGAATCGGATTTGGATGGATCGGATCTCAAAAAATCACGATCCAGCTCACCTCTAGTGAAAACCCTTAATGAAAATTTTTAATTTTAATTTTCATGAAAATGTGTCAATTTTTTGTCCCAGGTTTTTGGACTTTACCTGCTCTCGACGTGTTTTTGGATTTTGATCGCATTTTCTGAACATGACGCCGCGTCGTCCTCCGAGGAAACGAACCCCACAGCGGCGAATTTCCGGTTGCTCGCAATTTTAGTGAATCAAAAACAAGGCGGGGATCCCACTGAAAGGGGAGGATTACTCGAAAACGATGAAATTTCCGGAAATTTTAGCAACTCTGAGACGGACAAAGAGTTGGAAATGTTGCAGAAAAAGTTTGTCCATGCGTGGAACTCGGTTTCGCCCTATTTTCAAGGCGCCTGCGGTCTCGCGGTGGTTTCCGGTTTGGTCCAAGTCGTAGCGTGCATGGCGATTCTAAGTTCGTCGACGAAGGTGAAGAAGAAATTTTTAAAAAAATTAAAAATTAATTGGTAAACTGGAAATTGATTCTAAAAATGGAAATATTTTTTGAAAATGAATTATTAAATTGGAAATATGTGTTATGAAAATGAACCCTTTAAATGGAAATTTGTTTGTGAAACTCAATTCCTAAAATGAAAATGGCTTTCTGAAAAACACTTCCAAAAGTAGAATAAGCTTTCTGAAAATTGATTCTTTAAATGAAAAATTGTTTCAGAAATTTTATTTTTTAAATGTAAATGTAATGTATCTCTAAAAATTAATTCCTCAAATGGAAATATGTTTCAAACTGGAAATATATTTCCGTAAATGGATCCTTAAAGTGGTAATGTGCTTCTTAAATTGGAAATACGTTTCTGAAAATCAGTCCCCAAAATGGGAATATTTTTCTGTAAATCAGGTATTAAAATGGAAATATTTTTCTCAAAAGCTCAGTTCCAAAAATGGAAATGTGTTTCTGAAAATGGATTTTTAACTTGGAAATCTATCTTTTTCAGGGTGCAGGTAAACCGTTTCGTCTCCGATTGTGGAAAGTGTTGCATTTCTGCTTGATAATTACGTTCCTGATTTGCATCGCGATTCCCGTGTCGATTGACAAGTCGCTTAAAGACGGCGGCATCGCGGACCATTTGGACGCCCTCGCGGCGCAGTTGAAGCGCCACAATGCGCCCAGTTTGGATACGGAAGATGTCGACAATATAAAATTGCTGTACATCGCGCTGGCCGGAGATGCCGTCGGGTGCACATTTTTAGTCGTGATTGGGCACTTTGTTCTTTCGTATGTGGGAAGAGCGACCAGATAAGAACGTTGCCAGAGATCGGATATGTATTTATTTCTAGGTTTTTACTCAGAAATATAAATATTTATTCGTATTTCTGCCATTATTTCTAAAAAAAAGGGTTTAAAATTGTATGATTAAAAAGTCAGAAATAAAATTTGTGCTAACTAAAAACCTAATTACTAAATTCCAGATCAATAATTCACAAGAATTTTGAATATCTCGCAAATTTTAAATTTTATAGTTTTTCAATATGCAACATAGCCGCCTGTAAATTTGATTAGGCAGATTAAAAAAAAATAATGAATTACTTATTTATTTGCTTGTAACATTTACGAAAAAATTACCAAGTTTGACAGAAATATTTCAATTCCTGTGACGATTGACAAGTCGCTGACGGACGGTGGCATCGCGGACCATTTGGACGCCCTCGCGGCGCAGTTGAAGCGCAAAAACGCGCCCAGTTTGGACACGGAGGATGTCGACAATATAAAATTGCTGAACATCGCGCTGGCCGGAGATGCCGTCGGGTGCACATTTTTAGTCGTGATTGGTCACTTTGTTCTTTCGTATGTGGGAAAAATCCGCAGATAAGAACGCTGCCAGAGATCGGATATTTATTTATTTCTAGATTTTCCCGGAAAAGACATATTAAGTATGAATAAAAAGTCAAAAATAAAATTTTAAGTAATAACAAGAATTACTAATCTCGAATTGGATTTCGTAACATTTTTAGAATTTAAATTCTACAAGCTAAAAATCTGGATGGAGTTGCAGAATTAAAATTTTTGAAAATTTTGCGGAATTCAAATCTTATTTATGAAATTCAAACATACCAAACGAAACAAATCAAGATATCACACACATCAAAGGCGTATCTTGAATTTAATGATCGCTTTAATTGTGTTAAAGAAATCTGATTTCCGGGTTTTTAACAAAGTTACCCATATTTTTTTAATCTACAATTTCTGTCAATTTTAAGGAATTCAAATTCTCCAAATTTGATACATATTTGTACCAAATTTTGTAGAAATTAATCAATTAGTTCTAGAGTTATCGAAAGACAGACGGAAATGACAATTACATAAGTCCTGGTGAGGGCTAGAAATGGGTGTGTTGTACGATCAAAACGTCAGAAATAAAGTTTCGTTAAAAGAACTAATTAAAATTTTTAATTCAAGATACTCCCACCAGCAATCCATTTACTTTTTTCAAGATTTGAATTTCGTAAAAATTGTTGAATTTAAATTCAACAAGCTAAAAATCAAGGATATGATTTTTAAATATTTTGTGTAATTTTGTATTTTATTTTTTTGCTGAAAATTTCAATAGTTAAAAAAATTGACAGACTTTGCACATTTTTTAAATAATCGCTGTAATATTGTGTGATTAAAAGGTCAGAAATCAAATCTTTTAAAAAGAAATAAGATAATTATTTAATTCAAGATTTATTCTACTACTTTTTGATCGGATATTCTGGATCGGTAATTTTTTAAAGATTTGGGTTTCGTAAAAAATTTAGAATTTAAATTCTGCAAGGTGAAATCAGGACGGATTCAATGAGTCGTTTGTTTCAAATATTGACAGAATCTTTTTAAAAATTCCATAAAAAATTTACATTATTCTTGAAATAATATGCTTAATGTTGTGCGATTAAAAAGCCAGGAATCAAATTTTGTTAGAATAAATGAGGCAAATTATTTAAACCAAGATAAGTGTGTGGCGTTCTTGTGCAAAATTGTCGTATTTAATGGAGTATTTAATGGATGTGTACGAGGAGAAAAGTGAAAACATGATTTTTGAACATTTTTTATGCATTTTTGTGTAATTTTGAGCGAACTAAGGTCCGCGTGTGCAACCTTACGAATCCAGAAGTTACGCTTTTTTTGAAGTTTGGCTAATACAATTGTCAAAAAATATTGACAAAATTTACGTATTTTGAAAATTTGTAATATTGAATGATTAAAAGCCATAAATAAAATTTAGTTAAAAGAAATAAAGCAATTTATTTATTCAAGATTTTGTAGAACGTATCACACAATTAATTTTTTTATTTAATTAAAGATTGACTTTGTAAAATTTGTACAATTGAAATTCTACAAGCTAACGTTTGAATAATAGGGCGAAATCGAGGAATTACGTACTTCCTCGTACGTACTATTTACAACCATACCTGTTCACTTTCATTCATTTAACTGATTATGATAATGAATGGCAATGAATGAAAATGAATTTTCTGTCACTTGAATGAAAATGAGTGAAATATACCTTCATTTCAGATTAATGACTGTGAATGAAAGGATTTTTCATTCAATTCATTTTTCACACATGGGGCGAAGTAAGAAATAAAGCCAGATGAAGTGAAATGAAATGAATTTGATCGAAACTGACTGAATGTGAATGAAACCCTTCAGTCAGAAATCTGGATGATTGAACTTTGAATGAAAAAAGTTTTTTGGAACAGGTATGTTTACAACATAATACAAAAAATATGATTTGTGACCATTGTTTTTTGCAAAATTATTGAGGTAACTTACTCCTCAAAGTTTGTAAACGTCGTAACGGAAGATTTACGAACTTTTCGAAGGAAATTTGACTTACCGACTTTTATGAAAGGTGAGCTAAATGAATTTCAAAAAATTCTATTTACACTCGCAGTGTCAATGAATTATGGAAATATTGCCAGAATTTTATATATTTTTTTAAATCATACAAATGTGGGAAATCAAGTCAAAGTTTGTAACCTTCGTAACTACGTAAGTTTTGCAAGGTTACAAACTTTTACAAACATTTCAAAGGAAATTTTAGTTACGAACTTTTATGAAACTTACGCACTTCAAAAGCATGTTTTCGATTCGTAAACAAAAATTCGTCAATAATTTGAATGTTTGATATCTGAATTTTCAGTTGAAATCAAGGTTGCGCCGGGGAAACCTTTTTTGCAAAAAAAATCTTTACGAAACTGTTTACAAAGTTGATTCACGTCAAAACTGTGTAAATTTACAAACCCAACGCAGTTACGTAGCTATAAATTTGACATGAAATTCCTCTTTATATTTTCATGTTTTTGTGCAAGAATCGTCGTAAATATGTAAACACTTTTATGGTATTTTTTCATAGATTTATTTGTAATGCTAAAAATTTCAATGGTCACGATCGTTAAAAAAATATTTCTAAAATTTATGAATTAAAAAAAAATGGGTAACTTTGTATTATTAAAAGGTCTGGGATAAAATTTTGTTGAAAGAAATAATGCAATTATTTAGTTTAAGATGACTGGCATGTAGTGTAAGGATTTTAGAATTTAACTTCTGCAAGCTACACATTTTTATGAAAAATCGACGAATTACGAATATATCTGGAATACTTATCAAAAAATGGCAAAATTTTTATGAAATATTTAAGAAACAACATAGTAAAAATTTGAATTTTAGAGTAGTTTTACATATTTTTTATTGATCATTAAGATCAAAATTTCAATCGTCAGGATGATAACTTGATGTGAAATCGCTCTTTATATTTTTGCAAGAAATTTAATCGTCGTGAATATGTAAATATTTTTACGGTATTTTTCATAAATTTAATGCTCAAGATTTCAATGGTCAAAATCGTCAAAAAATGCGTACAAAATTAATTAATTTTTTGAAAAAGGGTAACTTTGTATGATTAAAAAGTCAGAGATAAAAATTCTGCTAAAAGAAATAAAGCAATTATGAAATTCAAGATAGGTAGGATGTAGTGTTTTTGTAAAAATGTTAGAATTTATCTTCTGCAAGGTACAAATTTGAGTGGACGAATTTTTATGAAAAATCGACGAATAACGAACATATCTATAAAACTGATAAAAAATGACAAAATTTTTAAGAAATATTTAAGCATCAACATAGCAAAAATTTGAATTTTCGAGTAGCTTTAAGTATTTTTAGATTAATTTAATCAAAATTTAAATTGTTAAGATGGTCCAAATATGGGAAGCATTTGTGTATTTTTGAAAAATGATAATAAAATCTTGTCGAAATAAATAAATTATTTAACTCATCGAAATATTCAATACGAGTTTACGCAGGGAAACATTAAAAATATAAATTTCCGGACATTTTTACATAATTTTTGTTAAATGTTTGACAGAAATTTTTTGAAAAATGGGAAACTTTGTGGGATCAAAAAGTCAGAAATATATATTTTATAAAAGAAATAATGCAACTATTTAATTAAAGATAAGTCGGTTGTTTAGTTGTGGTTATGCAAAGGTCATGTCGGTCTCACTTTGAGGTTTCGTTGTTCATTTCGTAATATTTAATATAATTCAAGAATTGGGTTTCGTGAAATTTTCAAAATCGAAATTCTGCAAACAAAAAAATTCTGCAAAAATCTGGTTGGATTTGCGTATGGCACAATTTAAATTTACAAAATTTTACGAATTTTTATTTCTTATCGTTTTAATCATATTATTAATTTTCAAATACATGTATTTAAGCATTTCGACTTTCTTGAAATACATAAAGCTTTTCAATGTTGCGACGATTTTAAACAAAAAAAATTGTAATTGAACTGCAAAAGTTTTTCGGTGAAATGAATTACAAATATATTTACATATTTACACCAACTCACAATCCATCCTGCTTTTTTAGCGTGCAGAATTTAAATTCGAAAATAATTACAAAATCAAAATCTTGAAAAAATTACGGATCCTCGAGAGGTGGCGAATATTTTGAATTAAATAATTACTTTATTTCTTTTAGCATAATTCGTTACCTGAATTTGTAATCATACAGATTAAAATTTGTCCATTTTTCATAAAAACCTTCCTTGGGCAACACTGACCAATATCTTATTGTCATAAGATTCTTATGTCAGTAGAAAAAAAACCCGATGAATCTTGAATAAAATAATTGGGTTATTTCTTTTATAAAAATTTTATTTCTGGCCTTTTAGTTACAAAATTACTCATCTTTCCAAAAAATAAGTAAATTCTGTCAAACTTTTGACGATAGGAATTTTGAGCATTATATCTATACATAAATGTAGGAAACTTCATATTTTTACAGCTTTCCATCGTAAATATTTCTGGAAAATTTTATCATTTTTTTAGGAAATACGTATTTCGTGGATTTTTCATAAAAATCCATTTCATAAAAGTGCCCATTCAACGGAAAGATAAGTACCACGTCATTTCTAATTTTTAGCTTGATTTTTTAGCATAGGTCTCTAAGCTTATCTCGTGTAGCTTGAAAAAAGGTTCCATTGTTAGTCCAAATCTTGAAGAATTGCACACAGTTTTAGAACATTTAATCTTCGAACGTCATTATTATCTGGGTTTACGTAATTGTTGTCTGTCTTTTATTCAAATTTTATATTTGACTTTAGAGTCCTACAAAATTGTAATTTTTTTAAATTACGTAAATTCTGTCAGAATTATATAATTATACGTTATTCAAATTTGGAACATAAAGTCCATGAAAAATTATATAGAACTGTCCTAACATTCATGTCTTTACTGTTTTCATTGTTATTAACTATTTCTATATTTTGTTTTTCAAAAATACTTAAATTCCGCTACTTTTTGGACGATTTTGAACTACTTTTTTTCACACAAAGTATAAGCATTAACCGATAACAAAAATAAGAATGTCCGAAAATCGTATCATTTTTTACCATTATATTTCTGAACTGAATATTTCTTAAAAAGTTGACCATTTTAAATTTATTTTTGCCCTAAATTAACATCCCTTCAAAAGATCAGGTCCTAAATTAGCTCCCAAAATTGCCAAATATTACAAAAATATGTCTCAAAATTCATATTTATACTGCTTTCCTTCGTAAAGTTGGTGATTTTTTTTCATGTTCTTAGTTTGTCGATTTTTCATAAAAATATGCCTTCATAAATACAATTTAATTTTTTTAATTTTAATTTTTAATTCAAGTTTTCTCCCATTTTCAAAAATGCGTAAATTCAGTCAAAATTTTGACGATCTTAACAATATTGAAGATTATATATTATTAATCATACGAAATTCGTCCACTTTTCGTAAAAATCTGTCTAATCAAGTTTTTGTAGCTTGGAGAATTTAAATCCAAACCTTGATTTAAAATACACTTTGGACCAAATTTCGATATAGGATATAGAACATATCTTGAATACAATAATTGCTTTATTTCTTTCAATAAACTTTTTATTTCTGACTTTTTAGTCGTACAATATGTAACCTATAATTTCAAAAATATGTAGATATTTCTACTATTTATTCAAAATTATATACATTTTTATCAATGATTCAGCGATAAAAAAAAGTTTAGTTGAACTTAAATAGCATACAGGATTAAACAAAATCCTCTTCAAATTTTATTTCTGACTAAAATTACCCATTGTTCAAAAGTACGCAAATTCTCTCAAAATTTTGACTATTAAAAATTTGGGCATTAATTAAATCCATGAAAAATTATGTTAAATTGTTCGAAAATTACTGTCTCTTTTCATCGCTATTTAATATTTCTATAATTTAAAAAAATGCGTCAAATCCTGTCAATATTTCAACGATCTTAAACTATTGTTTTTACACGAAGTATGAGTATTAAATCTTAACAAAAATAAGAATAGGCGAAAATCGTATTATTTTTACCGTTTATTTTTTAAACAAATATTTCGTAAAAATTTGAGTATTTTTGACAGCTTTAAACCCATTATATCAAGAATATGTAAATATTTTAAGTATTTACATATTACATATTTTCTTATTGCATATCACATATTTACATATAAAAACAAAAATTTTGTCAATTTTTCGACAAACAAGTCAGGACCTTGAATCCGTCCTAATTTTTAACTTGCAGAATTTTTAAATTCGAAAATTTTTACAAAATCCAAAATCTTATTTTGAGTTAAATGAATTCCAAATACATTTACGTACATCAACTCTCAGCAAATGAATTTATCCAGCTCTTGAACTTGTAGAATTTTAATTCTCACAATTTTACCAAATACAAATTTTGAATTAAATAAAAGTTTATGAAATCCAACCGTAAAGCGAGATTACGAATGTTACGAAAATTCTGTTAAATTTACCAAAAAATTACTAAATTTTTGAGTTATATTTACGAGTGTAAGCAGTAAAAATATGCCTTTTATATACCATTTTACGCTATTTTTTAATAGAGGTACTCAATATTTCAAGATCGTCAAATTATTGAAAACAAATAAGGTAATTATTCAATTCAAGATAAACGGAACAACGGAATAGAGTGAAACTTGTCTGTTGAATTTCGTAAAGTTGTATTCAATTCTAAACTTCGATTTCGTAAAATTTTTAGAATTTAAGCTAAAAATCTGGATGGATTTGCGGGATTACAGAATTTAATTTTGAATTTTTTTTTTACGAAATCCAGTAATAATCTGTGACAGACAGGATACGATACCTACCTGTTCACTTTCATTCATTTGAGTGATTATGATGGTGAATGATAGTGTATGAAAATGAATTTCCTGTGATTTGAATGAAAATGAGTGAAGGATTCAGTCATTTCAGATGAATGACTGTGAATGAAAGGATTTCTCACTTTTCATTTTTCACCCTATGCTTAATACATGGGGCGAAGTAAGAATGAAGTCAGATGAAGTGAAATGAAATGAGTTTGAAGGAAAATGATTGAATGTGAATGAAAATCTTAAGCCAGAAATTGGGATGACTGAGGTTTGAATGAAAAAAGTTTTTTTGAACAGGTATGATATGATATGATATGATATGATATAGAAATACTAATACACAAAGATAACTTCGACATCTTGGATTACGAAATTATTTTATTTTTTGGCAAAAAATTTATTCCGACTTTTTAATCCGACGTTATTACCAATTTTTTTAAATCTATCTCTAATCATCAAAATTTTGAATTGAATCTATAAATAAATTCGTATTTTTACTGGTTTCCTTAGTCCATACTTGTTAAGTATTTCACGTCAAGTTTGTACCTATGTAACTGCGCTGAACTGCTTTAAGTTTGTAAGTTTACATACTTGACGTGAGTTTACTTGGCAAATTTCCTCAGAAATGGGTGTAAAAGTTCGTAAAAATGGGCAAGCTTACAAAGATTACGAAGGTTACAAACGTTTACGAGTTAGCTAAAGCTCATTTTGACGGCTCAGAAAAATACACAAAATTCTGATAATATTTTGACAATGCTAACTGTCAAATTTCCGTAGAAATGTAAAAGTTCGTAAAAGTGTTCAAGCTTACAACCTTATTACGCAGTTACAAACGTTGACGTGAGTTAGCTCATTTTGCCGATTTAAAAAATGCATAAAATTCTTGTATTTCGACAATGCTGACTGTCAATTTTCCTTAGAAATGCGTCTAAAAGTTCGTAAAATTTTGAAAGCTTACAAAGATTACGAAGGTTACAAACTTTGACGTGAGTTACCTAATTTTGTCGAATAAAAAAATACATAACATTCTAGTAATATTTCAATAATTCCTTGAATCTATGAGGGCATATATACCTAAATAGATATTTTTTGGAATTCATTTAGCTCATTTTTTCTGTGATATTTTCAAAGAATAAATAAAATTCTGGGAAATATATTTCAACAATTCATTGACTCTGTGAGTACGTAAATAGATATTTTTGGAATTCATTTAGCTCATTCACTGCACTCTCATTTCATTCTACTTCCTCGTAAATTACGCTATAATGCAAATTAACGAGACCACATGGTTCATGCATGCATATTTTTTGCACTATAGAAAATCCACTCTCTACATATTTTATTTTATTTTAACCAAGCAAACACATTTCGCTGCTGAAATTTTTTTTACCAACTGTTGGCACACTCATCCAGTTGCAAGTTTAATTACGTTTTAGGAAGTGCAGAATTTTTTGCAATATAGATTTTGTTCAGTGGATCGTTTTATAGTGATTTTTTTTTGCAAATGGCATTGTACCATGTGCATAAATGTATCGCAGCGTTTTCATTGGTAAGTAGTATGAAATTTTTGAAATTTTTTGAAAATTTGAGAGCTAATTTTGCGAAATGACGTTGAGTTCGAGGGAAAATAAATTGAAAATGGTCGAATTTCTAAGAAATATTCATTTAAGAAATATAACGGAAAAAATGATAGGGTTTTTGGCCATGCGTATTTTTAAAAATTTAATGCTGCTCCCACTTGTGAGTTTAATTATGTTTTGCGAATTGCAGAATTTTGCAGTACAGATTTTGTTAAGTGAATCGTTGTATAGTGATTTTTTTTTGCAAATGGTATAGTACCATGTGCATAAATGTATTGCAGCGTTTTCATTTGTAAGATATTTTTGAAATTTCTGACAAATTTGGGAGCTAATTTAGGAGTTAATCTTTTGAAGGGAGCTTAATTTAGAGCGGAAATAAGTTAAAAGTGGATACATTTTTGGGAAATATTTATTTCAGAAATATAAATGATACGATTAATTTTTGCACAAAAAAAATATTAAAATGGTCGAAATATTAACAGAATTTACGTATTAAAAAAAAATAATAAAAGATTTAATAAATAAGCAAACGGTAAAGGCATGAATTTTCTGACAATCTTACATAATTTTTCATAGCTTTAATGCTCCAAATTTGAATAATATAAGAATATATTATTTTTGAATGAATTTACGTATCTTTGACAAATTGACAATTTTGTATGACTAAAAAGTCCAAAATCAAGTTGCAATAAAATAAATAATAAAATTGTGTAATCTAAGATGTGCCGAACTGGTAACACTGCTGAGAACTTTAACTTCCATCATCAGTTGCGAGTTTAATTACGTTTTGGGAAGTGCAGCATTTTACAGATTTTATTAAGTGGATTGTTTTATAGTGATTTTTTTTGTGCAAATGGCATTGTACCATGTGCATAAATGTATCGCAGCGTTTTCATTGGTAAGTAGTGAGAAATTTTTGAAATACTTGGAAAATTTCATTTAAAAAATCATAAAAATATTTAATAAATGAGCAAACTGTAAAGGCATGAATTTTTGGACAGCCTTACATAATTTTTCATAGCTTTTAATGCTCCAAATTTGAATAATATAACAATATATTATTTTTGAACGAATTTACGTATCTTTGACAAATTTGGCAATTTTGTATGACTAAAAAGTCCTAAATCAAGTTTCAATAAAAGAAATAATACAATTATATAATCCCAGATGTCTCTAAATGGTATTGGAAGATTAAATATATTAAAATAAATGTCATTCAATTGAAATAAATGTAACTCAAGATTTGGATTTAGTAACAGTTTTAAAATTCTGCATCGTATAAATTTGATCAGGTTGATTTTTATGAAAAATCGTCGAATTACGGAGATGTGTGTAATATTTATTAAAAAAAGGATCAAATTTTCGAGAAATATTTACGGAGGAAAGCAGTAAAAAGAAGAAGTTTGATGAAATTTTATGTAACTTTTATGTATAGATTTTACGGTCAAAATTTCAATTGTCAAAATTTTGACAGAATTTACATATTTTTAAAAGAGAGGTATTTTGTATGATTAAAAAGTCAAAAACCAAATTTTGCAAAAATAAACATAATAATTGTTTAACATATGTGACTGTCTCCATGAAAAGGGACCTTATTCACCAAATATCTACTTTAGCGACTTTAATTTGTTAGGGAAGTTCTTGCGTCAGGCTTTAATTTGCCATTTATTTCAGCTCAATCTGCCAACTACAAAGAAAGTTATTTAAGTTCAAAGTGATGCATCGACAATATGGCAAAACGACCTTTTGGCGAAAATTTGCATACTGATTAAATTTAGAACAATGTTTTAAAATTTTATATTGTGGCTTATATTGCGCTAATATTATATTTGCATAGGCCAATACAAGCCTGAATGACGTTAAGTTTTAAATTTGAGGTTTATCGCCCGAGGTTAAGTGTCTAGGTCACGTTAAGGTCCTGAAAAAGGTCAAGGCGAAATTTTTTCATTTTTATTAGGTAAAGCAAGCCTGTACAACCTTAAGTTTTAAATTTGAGGTGGAATGCTTAACATTAATATTTATTTTGCCAATTCAGCTTTTTGACGAAGTGGGTTTCGCTGAAAGTGTTCTGTTTTGGTATTTTGCCGCTTGTACAAAATGAGAAAAGTATGACTAAGGTCCCTTTTCATGGAGACAGCCACATATGTTGTAGAGTCATTCAATAAGGTTGAATATCGTAAAATCGTATAAAATTAAGGATTCTGATTTCTTAAAATCTTTAAAAATCAAAATCTGCGAGCTAGGCTGAGTTTTATGAAAAATTGAAAAATTATATTTGCTAGATTTGGTACAAAATCGCTAAATTTTTTAGAAATGCTGGGAAGTAAAATAGTAAAAATACGAATTTTCAAACATTTTTTACGGTATTTGTAACAGATTAAATGTTCAAAACATCAATATTGAAAGAATTTATTTATTTTTTGAAAAAAAATATAATTTTGTGTGACTAAAAAGTCAGAAATCAAATAATTTTGTGAAAAGAAAAAAATATTTATTAAATCCTAGATCCTTTGATTCTGCAAGCTTCAACTTTTATTAGGCATACTTTTACGAAAAATTGGCCAATTACAGGCACACATCAGTAATATTCCGGTATAGTCGTATATGTACATCGGTCAGTAATAATTTGATACCATAGAGTGCCAAATATACCACGTGCTGGTATAGATCTGGTACAAAATTCCTACCCGATTGGTAGTAGTTTGTTTCTCCGTGGTAAATTTTGCCTTACAGGGTTATTACTACACCATAAATTCCCGTTATTACCAGTGCCGGTAGAGTCACATACATATGTATTCCGATCAGTAATGATTCAATACCAAATTTCTAAGAGTGCAAAATTTACCAAATTATTTAAACCAAATTTCTGATTTTATTTCCAGATTTTGGCCCTTTTAGTCCTGACCGTGGCGGTGTGGACGTTTTGCTCCCTAATGTATCGGAACAATGGGAAGACGAAGACAAAGCAAAATAATTTAGGCTCGCCATCTTCCCTGCTCGAAAACAGCGAAGAAGGAACGACGGTCACACCCACGAGTTTTTTGAGCAATACGAATAATAGCTCCACGGTTTGGGGGGATTTTGAAGAAATGCCGGAATTTTTTCAAGGCGTTATTCTCGGCTGTGACTGGATCGCCGTGGGGGGTGCGGTACTCCAAATTCTGATGTCGTGTCTGATCCTGTGCAGTTCTTCGAAGGTGAGAAAATTGATAAATATTGGGAGATTTTTACCACTTGAAATTTTGCAGACACGTGTAACATGCAAAACTAGGAACAAATTTTTAGATATGGGTAAAAATGCTTCAACAGAAAACAAAACTTGCGAAACTTTGAGGAATTTCACGTCACATTTGTAACTTCATACGAAACTGCGTTAAGTTTACACAGTGTTGACGTGAATCTTCGACTTTGTAAACGTTTTCGTAAACATTTTTTGCACAAAAAATGTCTCTTACATGAAAGTAACCTTGAGTTCAACTTTTATTTACGAAAAAAGATTTTGAAGTGGGTATTGGAAGTTTGGTAAATGTTCTAAAGTCAATTTTCGCTAGAAATGTGTGAAAAAGTTCGTAAGCTTTCAAATCTTAGAAGAAGACGAAGATTGCAAAGGTTGACGTGAGTTCCTGTCCTGGTTTCTAAACTTGTTGACCATATCAAAGCAATCTAAACCCAGCTTATGTTTCATAATTGATGTGTAATGATTTTATTAAGTGGCGTCGTGATGGCACAATTTTCTCGCTTATTTGAATATTTCCGTATTCCTGCAAAATTTCACTGTTTTCAATCAATTTTGAATTTTTTTGTATAAATTATCCAATCAATTTGATGGCAGGGACGGTCGAACTTTGTGGGTATGTTCCTTAACCGTTGTAGAATAAAAAAATTTCATAAGATTTTTTTTTTCATTTTGTCACATTTATTTTTCACTCCGACAAACCGTATCTTGAATTAAGCCGTTACATTATTTATTTTTCCAAAATTTGAATTCCAACTTTTTAGTCATACAATGTGAGCCACTTTTTGCGTAAATTCTGTCAATGTTTTGACGTTCTTGAGGATTAAAATTAAGAACATTAAAGTAAAAAAGGGGCTTAAAAATGTTCTAAAATTAATATTGTTACTTGGTCTCTTTCGTAAATATTTATTAATTTGTATGATAAAAATCTGTCAGAATTTAAACTTTAAAATTTTTACAAAATCAAAATCTTGAATTGAATAAAATTTTACGAAATACATAAAACTTCAACTTTTAAGTACAATATCTGAATTAAATAAATTGTATTACTGATATTTCTTTTGACAAATTGTGATTTCAGAATTTTTAGTCATACAAAATAATCCATCTTTCAAAAATATCTATCAATATTTTGACGATTAAAGGTTTGAGCTTTAAATTAATTAAAAATTATTCTTACAATTTTCTTTGGTGAATATTGCTCAAAATTTGTTAAAAATTTAGTGGTTTTTTAAGTAAATATTACCGATACGTAAGTACACAATTCGTCGATTTCGCATAAATTTATGCCTAATTAAATTTGCACCACGGAGATTTTAAATTACATAGTGTTTACGAAGTCAAAACCTTGAATTACATACAATTTTATGGTGTTTAATACTTTATTCTTCAAAGTTCATTTCGTGATCAGAAACCATTATCTGTATTAAACAATTGTTTAATAAATTTGTTTTCACAAAATTTGCGTTCTGACGTTTTGGTCATACAAAAATAATTCTGGTAACATTTTGACGATCTTTATATGAAATTTTGACCAACTAAATACGTAGAAAAACTTATGATAAAAAAAAGTTAAAAAAATACAAATTTTTCTCATCTCTTTTCACAGAACACTCAGGACCGGGTAAAATACTTTGTGGGGGCGCATTTCCTCGCATTTTTCATCCTGGTGGTGACCCTCCTCCTGCCGCTGGCCTACGACCGCGAAAACGACCAGTTCCACACCATGACGTCGTTTAACACGGAGGCGAAAAAGCAATTGTGGATGCTACAAGATGCCAATGTGTTCAATTTTATGGTAACGGATTTGCGTCTGTATTACGTCACACTGATGCTGGATTGTCTCGGCGTGGTTATAATTATCGTGGTGTCGTCATGTTTTCTGAGATTCTCGACCGTTTCGGAGCATGAGGTGGAGCTGTTTTATGACAGGTATAAGTAATTAAGGAATTAGGTAATTAATTAAGTATTTAATTAACAAAATAAGGAGGAGTTATGTTGCAAAGTATTTTTAAATCTGAAAATCTCTTAAATTTAAAATGTTCGTCATTTACGCATTAGGTAATTATTTGCATATTTATTTTCTCCGCCTTTTCTGAGAAACTAGTTATTGTAAAACGAGAATAAGTGAATAAGTTTGTTAATTAATTAGTTAAGAAAGTAACTTAGAATTATTTTACAAGTTTTTTTAAATCCTGGAGTCTCAGAATTCTTGAATATTAGTTTATTATAAATATTGAATATTAATTTATATTTAATTATGATAAATTATTATTTTCATAATTATGGTAACAAATGTGCGCCTGAATTACGTCACGCTGATGCTGGATTGTCTCGGCGTGGTCGTCATTATCGTGATGTCGTCATGTTTTCTGAGATTCTCGACCGTTTCAGAGCATGAGGTGGAGCTGTTTTATGACAGGTATAAATAATTAGGGGATTAGGTAATTAGCAAATTAGTAGGAATTAAATATTTATTTTGTAAAACTTTTTGAAATTTTAGAATTTCAGGAAATATTAGTCATTTATATATTAATTATTTTAAGACTTACTCCACACTGCAAATTTTTATACGAAATACTGAGCGCAGAGTTATATACTCTGCAAAGTTTGTTTAATCTAAAAAATTGAAATATTTGTCATTTACATGTTAATTATTTACATATTTTTTTTTCTTCTACAGTTTCTGATCCTGAGTATAAACTATATGACATGTATAAGTAATTAGTTAATTAATTAAGAAATTAGCTCTGAATTAGATTACAAAATTGTCTTTTTTTAATTTTGGAATCTTAGAATTTTGGAATATTATTTAGTCATTTACACTTTTGATTATTTGCATAATTTGTGGTTGTGCGAGACTAAACCGCAAAGATTTGTCAGTTATTAATTTTTTCTGTAGTATTTTGTGACTCAATTTGATGATAAATACATAAAGCCAAAACGGAAGGATGTGGGTTACTCATTTACATATTATTTAGTAAATTTATGTAGTAATTAACTAAATACTGTTTGCATTAAAAAGCAAGGTCTTCACCTGACCGCAAAAATAAACTCGTGTCTGTGTTAAATTGTTTGGTAACTTATTTATTTATTATTTGTCTAGAACGGACGGAAATGGTAATTTATTTTTCTTGTAAAGATTTACGACTTGATATCTGAAAAATTTGCGATTTTGTTAAAGAAGTTGAAACAATAATAAAAAAAGTGCTAAAAAATTTACAATTTGAAAAAAAATAAAAAAAAAACTTTGCAATTTTATTAAAGAAGTTGAAGCATTAGTTAAAAAAACAGTGCTAGAAAATTTATGAGTTAATAAATCGGAAAAATTTTAAATTTTGTTAAAGTAGTTCGAGCAATAATTTAAAAAAAAGTGTTCAAAAATTTACGATTTAATAAATCAGAAAAATTTTTGATTGTATGATTTTTTAAAGTTGAAGGGAAAATAAAACAAAACTTTAAACTTCAAAATTTGAAAATGAAGCTTGTTAAGTTTCCCGTAAGCCCGTTAAAATTTTTCCTAATTTTCCTGCTAATTGGACCAACGCTGTGTTTGTCGGAGTCCTTTGGATGCCCGGGATTTGAAAGTGCTGAAGAAATCGGAAGGACTCCGCCAATCTTAACGTTGTCGAAATTACCGAGATTAGAAATGCAAGAATTTCGGAATAACGACGTTGTCATCAATGCGACCAAGATTACCCCGATAAATTTGGACTGTTGGGCTGCCTATCCAATCGACCTGACTTTTTCAGGACATTTGGTATGTAAATGATAAGCCACATATTTTTAATCTGTTGGAATATCGCGTGTAAAAAAAATTGCACGAACCCTTGAAAATAGACTTGCCGGAAATTGGACAATTTTTTGCAAGAGACACGTACAGAAATCTGAATCCTCCGGTAGAAAATTTCGTGTACAACAAATCATATTGCCCGTATTTTAAATTTTGCCCGGTTTCTCTGCAAGAGTTTGTGGAAACGAAATATTTGCATAATTACATAAATCTTGGATGAAAATCGTTCTTGAAAATTTGCTAATTTTAAAGATATATATGTATGCAGGGTCCATTTACTGTATCCTTGGAGAAATTCTAGACAGGGTCATGTCAGTTCAAAAATTCTCAAAATTTTTTTTTACAGATTTTAAAGTTTGAGAATATGCATTATTTTTGCTGGGAAAGCTTGGTTGTCAAGAATAATAAAATGCTCAGATTTATCATAAAATTCACACAAATACTTTTTGGGTACCGTTTTTGATGCTGGATTTTTGTAATATTAATGCTACATAAATACTGTTCCATATACATACTTAATAATATATGCATACTATTGCACATAATAATCATGCATTTATTAAATAAATGCAAGGATTAGGTGCCCTTCTGGTTGGACAGGACCATGTAGAGTTACGCCAATGTGCGGGATAACTACTCAGCGAGTGATGCCAGTTCGATTCCTGGCGGACGCAGCTGAAGGTCCTGGCCCTAGCCCCTCTTGTGGCTTCGGTCGTGGGGGGGTTAGGGGGGGGGGTGAGTGGGGGGATGTGGGGAATTATTATTTTGGTTTAGTTTATTTTAAAATTAATCAAAACCATATTTTTTATTATTACGCATGATTAAATATATATGCAAAAAGTATTTGGTAAAATTTTTGGTAACATTTTTGGTAAAATTTGCTAATCTTTGAAAAATTGAAACTATTTTATAAAATCACTCAAATCCATACTAAAATGCAAACGAATAATTTTGGATACCGTTTTTGAAGCTGAATTTTTGTGCAAACATATAAAGCGTAACAGTACTTCAAATTCACATTCCTATTTCAAGCATAATTACTTTATATATAGCAATTATTTTAATTGACAATTTGCATATAGGTACATATGTACATGCATAACAAAACTAGTGAATTTCTCTTAATCCTTAATAATGATACAAATTAAAAATTTACTAAATGTCGAGAAGTTCCCATTCCGGCTCATCTTCAACACTTTCTAATTCTATACATCCTTCAACTTCATCCAAATCGCTGTTTATGATGCAACGCATTTCTTCAGCTAATTCCAACTCGTGTTCTATTTCAAAATCTTGTTCATCATCTTCTGGAGTTACAACCGACGAATTTATAAATGCGTTTGCTCTTTTCTCACGTCTAGCCAGTAAGATTTTCTTGTTGATGGAGGAAATTCTTATCTTAGTTCTGACTTTCACGTAGTACTTAGTTACTTTGAGAGGAATTGAGGGATATTTTTGGTTTAAAAACTTAGCCAAAGGAGTTATTGCTCGAACTTCAGTGTTAAGATCCCAAGCTGAACTATGTCTTCTTTTATGAAATGTATTGAAAAAATCTTCGAATTTTAGAAATGTACAAAGCCACATATCCGAGGGTGTGATTAGGTTTCTCCGTGATATAACATTGACCCAACCTTCTCTTGATCCAATTGACTTCATTTCTGGATTTGTATCTAAGAATCTTTTAGCAATAAATCCAGCGACGTATTCTTTGGCCCCAAGAATTGCTCTGTTTTGAAGAGAATCAATTACGGGGACTTCTACTTCAGACGTTGGGTCAATATACTGCAATTTAGAGAGAATGTACTCATCTTCATAGGGGATATCTAGGTGAGGAACGGGTTGCATCATCAAGGTAAGTCTTTGGGAACTGTACATGACCATATCGTTTTCAGAATGAATGTTTCCCGTTTTTGGACATCGTATATTTGATGCCAAAATCAGAGACTTGACCCTCAAAATAGCATCAGCGGGTAGTGGGGTCATGTTGAACCTTCCAACTCCACGTATCGCTCCAAAACTCGACTCCAGATAATCCTGGTTGCAATGTGTGGTCATTATGTACTTGATGTTAACCGGAGGCTCTTTTAACTGCAGGAATAAGCCTTTGAGACTTTCGCATGACAGTTTGAAACCTCGTTGAAAGGGTTTAATGCATGGTCGCTTATTCATTATCCTCAATTCTGTTATATTCTTGCATAACTTATCCAATGTTTTGACTTGCAATTCGTATTCAGATCCAAAAGGACACTTCAAAGGATTTTGATCAAGATGGGTTGTTCTAGTATTAAGAAGATCCATTCCATCGTTTAGAAGAAGAAAAAAATCTGCCATTTCCTTGTATTCCGGTAGTAAATACTGCAACGCCTTGGCTGTGCTGTGTGAAAATAATTCCATTGCAGGTCTAACTTTCATTCGTTCCCTTCCTCTTAAGTTAAGGTGCTTCTTAGTTAATTTGTACGTGAGTTGGAGATCCGAGCTTGCCTTGCTTGTATTTGTACGGACATCCAGGAACAATGCATGGACGAGGCATTATTTAAAGCCTGTATTGCTTTCAAATTTTCTGTATTTTGTGATTGAAACTACCCACTGTACCCAAAAAGATTAATATCGGAAAAATTCAGCATCAAAAACGGTACACAAAAAATTAATATCGTAAAAATTTAGCATCGAAAACGGTACACAAAAAATTAATATTAAAATCCAGAATCAAAAACGGTACCCAAAAAGTATTTGTGTAAATTTTATGATAAATCTGAGCATTTTATCGTTCTTGACAACCAAGCTTTCCCAGCAAAAATAATGCATATTCTCAAACTTTAAAATCTGTAAAAAAAAATTTTGAGAATTTTTGAACTGACATGACCCTGTCTAGAATTTCTCCAAGGATACAGTAAATGGACCCTGTATGTATGCATCTTCTGGTCGTTCCTTTTGCAAAGTTAAATCGTGTGCAATTTTATGTATGCAGCAAAATTCTTCACTTCTCTTCTTAGTACATATTTGTACAGATAAATTAAATATTCAGAACTTTTTGCAAATCGATATCTGTTGCAAAATTCTGCAGTTAATATATACTTCTGCAGATAAACTTTAGCGAATTTTTTGCAAATGGATTTTTACACGGGTGGAACTAATTTCTAATTGACTTTCTCTTTGATCAAAGACTAATCAGAAAGCCGAGATCCGAACAAAAGTGCCGGGCTACAGGAGATCGGACGGCGTTTCATCGCACTGCTATCATATCGACGTCATAAATTGTAGCGATTTTTTTTGCAAATCTATTTAGTTGCACATTTTCTTACTCAGTATTTGAATTTTGCATGATTTCTGTATAAAAATTGTGCAAAATTTTGATTGTTCCTTCTACAAATTTAAAGATAAATTGTGTTCAATTTTATGTGCATGGACAAATTCTGCACTTATTTTCGCAATAAATACTTCAACATATAAATTATAGCGATTTTTTGCAAATGGATTTTGTTGCACATTTTTTGACTCAGTAATTTTAATTTTGTTTGATTTCTGTGTAAGATTAGTGCAAAATTCTGGTCGTTGCTTCCGCAAAATTAGATCATGCGCATTTTTTGTACACATGTACCAAAATTCTGCACTTAATACATCTTTTACTGATAAATTGTAGCGAATTTTTTGCAAATGTAATTCTAATTAATTGCTAATTGATCTAATTTCTCTTTGATCAAAGACTAATCAGAAGGCCGAGATCCGAACAAAAGTGACGGGCTACACGGGATCGAACGGTGTCTCATCGCACTGCTATCATATCAACGTCACTCTCACGACGTATCAGGAAATCTCGGGGAATTACTCCTGCTTCCAAGTCGAAAATCCGACCTTGGTCACGTCCAAGTTCATCTTTGTTCAAAGTGAGTAATTAACAAGGGACGTATACCAGCGGATACTCTCGGATTTTGGGCAAATTAGTGTGAATCGATCACAAACTTAATTAGGATGAAATTTTCGAAAGACAGGATCTCCAAATGGACACGTGTCGGAGAGATAGTTGCATCCCAAGAGGAGAAAATCTGCAGTAAATTTGGAAAGCGTAAGATTTGGCGAGTTTTCTCCTCTTCGGATGCAAATTTCCTTTCAAACATATCCAAATAAATGCTTGTTTCACCGTTTTTTTTAAGAAATTGCATCGGTAGAGGAGTAAATTTGCAGAGTGCAAAATTTGGCAACTTTTGGGGTCGTTTACTCTTCTTTGGAAGTAAATTTAAAGTCGACAAATTTTGCACTTTTCAAATTTATTGCGCGTTTTCTCCCCTTTGGATGCAAATATCTCCAAACGTGCCCATTGGGAGATAGTGTCTTTCGCAAATTTCATACTAATCAAATTTGTGATCGATTGACACTAATTTGCCCAAACTCGAAGAGTATACGCTGGAAGACTGCCATTGTAAGCAACAACTTTCCAATGTAATTCATTTATAATCCGATTTGCACTCTATTAATTAATTAATTGATTAGCTCCTCCACGGAATATTATGCTGCGAAGTGGAGAATCGATCAGGATTGTGGTGAATCCTGCACAGAAAACGGTCACCTTGCCGTGCGCCATTTCAAATAGGAATATGGCGAAAGATATTCAACTCTGGAAAATTGACGGGGTATGTATTTTTATACGAAAAAGCCTAGGTTTTGGATGGAATTTTAGATTTCTTTAAATTTCCAGTTATTTTTGTACGAAAATAACTTGAGTTTTGAGGGAATTCTACTTTATAAAATTTAATTTAAATTTAATTTAATTTATAAAAATTTCGGTGACTTTTCGATGAAAATGACTTGATTTTGGTTGGCATTTTTTTAAATGTTTTTTTTTACCTTTTTTTTACAAAAAATGCCGCATTTGATTAGGTTGCACAATTTTTATTATGCAAATTTGACTAAATCCAGCCTTATAGCGTCAGCGTCAATTGCTGTCCCATCTTGGATTAAAGAATGCGTTATTTCTTTTAGCAAAATTTTATATTTCTGACTTTTAAAGGTTGCAAAGGTTGACGAGTGAGACCCCTCAATAATTTTTCAAACATCTTTACGAAAATCATATTTTTAGTCTTATTCCGTAAATAGTACAGGTAAATATGTAATTGGTCAATTTCGCATAATCAAATTTTTAACGTGTAGAAATTAAATTCGACAAATTTGACGTAGTCCAAATCTTGAATTAAATAAAATTTTACGAAATTAACCTCAGAGCGAATTCAGCAAATCTTGAGTTAAGTAATAATTTTATTTATTTTCAAAAATATGAAATTCCTGCCAATATTTTGACCAAGTTGTCTAATGAAATTTTGATCGTTACGTCCATATTTATCATGCAATGCTATTTTTTTAAATTCGTAAATTCAATATTTTTTGACAATGTTGACGATTGAAATTTTTCGAAAAAAATTATAACTGAACTGTAAATAATTTTGAACTAAACTAATTCCAAATATATTTACATATATCAACTCTCAGCCAATGAATCCATTCAGCTTTAGAACGTGCAGAATTTGAATTCTCAAAATTTTACGAAATACAAATTTTGAATTAAATGCAATTTTATGAAATTTGAATTTAAGTTAGATTTACAGATCTTAAACTAAATATTTGAGTAACTTGTTTTAACAAAATTTTGTTTCTGCTGACTTTGTAATCATTCAACTTTGAACATACTTCAAAAATATGTAAATTCTGTCATTGTTTTTCATGTAAAATTTCAAAAAAAATATTACAGAAGACAAAACGCAATTCATAAATTTTTAATGAAAACCTACCCAATTAAATTTGTAGATTGTAGGAATTCTGAAAATATCAATTTCACGTCCAATCTATATTTGAAAAATTACATCATTTCTTTTCCTACAAATTTTTATTTCAGACTTTTAAATCATACATTAAACTAATTATTTCGAAAGTATATAAATATTTCGATTATTTATCAAAAATGTATAATTTTTTCGTCAATGCTTCGAACGTTTTAAGCAAAAAAATGCCTGATTGAAATACAAAAAATTGTGAGAACTAAACCGAACAAAAAAATTGGAAAGAAAACGTCCGTTTCTTTCCGTCATATATAAATATTTCTTAAATTTTTTTGCGCACATATTAAATACATTTTTTTCGGGGATTTGACTAATTGTTTCTAAAGTATGTAAATATTTCGATTATTTTTTCAAAAATGTGTAATTTTTCGTTAATTCTTGGACCGTTGTATATAAAAAAAATGCCTGATTGAAATTTAAAAAAATTGAGCACTAAACCTAACAAAAAAATTGGGAAGAAAACGTTCCGTTTCTTTTCGTCATAAATATTTCTTAAAATTTTTTGTGCAAATATTAAATACATTTTTTTTCGGGGATTTGACATTTTGACCGAATTTTTTTGCACTTATTTTTAGAACTCTCAACTCTGGCTGCGTCAATCATCGATGGTGAAGTATGATCCAAAAGTCGGATTTGTAATGAGCTTGGGAACGGAACCGGTTGACTCCACGTTTCTCGGAAGCTATCAATGCGGTCGAGATTTCAGGGATAAGGTCAAAGTGGAACTAGTCGGCCCACCAGGTGTGCAAAAAATAAAATAAAAATACATTTGGGGTATTCACGTCAACTTTGTAAACAGCGTAAATTTAAGACGTTTACGAAAATCCCATCGAGATTTCAGGGATAAGGTGGAAGTGGAACTAGTCGGCCCACCAGGTGTGCAAAAAATAAAATAAAAATACATTTGGGGTATTCACGTCAACTTTGTAAACAGCGTAAATTTAAGACGTTTACGAAAATCCCATCGAGATTTCAGGGATAAGGTGGAAGTGGAACTAGTCGGCCCACCAGGTGTGCAAAAAATAAAATAAAAATACATTTGGGGTATTCACGTCAACTTTGTAAACAGCGTAAATTTAAGACGTTTACGAAAATCCCATCGAGATTTCAGGGATAAGGTGGAAGTGGAACTAGTCGGCCCACCAGGTGTGCAAAAAATAAAATAAAAATACATTTGGGGTGTTCACGTCAACTTGGTGAACAGCGTAAATTTAAGACGTTTACGAAAATCCCATCGAGATTTCAGGGATAAGGTGGAAGTTGAATTGGGCGGCCCGCCAGGTGCGCAAAAAATGTATTAACGTCAAATTCTTAAATAGTGTAAATTTGCGACATTTACGAGACTTCCATGATTGTACCGGATAACCATGGAATTTTAGTAAACGTCATAAATTTACGCTGCTTTTGACATTTACGAGGGTGACGCGAAAACTCTAATTTTTGGTGAATCCACAGTTAATTAAAGAAGTAATATAACTAACGATGTTAATAAAATCAGTTAAAAATTTCAAAATTTCAAAATTTCAAAATTTCAAACTTCCCCACGTAAAAATTCATATCTAACCAAGTTTAATTAAATAAAATTGTTTTACTAAATATTGTTCCGACTTTGAAATGCTTCATTCTTTTTAAAAAAAATTATCACCAAATTTACGACATTTACGAAAATTCTCTACTTACGACGTAAACATGGGTAAACACGGGATGCGTCTTTCTTTCTTTAGTGGGAATTAAAAGTCGGGATATTTCGAGATTAATTGAGGCAATTCACGCCATTCTTCATAAACTATGTAACTCCCATAAATTTACGAAACTTACGAAGTTTTAAGAAGATCTTGCGAAGATGTAACAAATGTTTTTGGTTCGTAAGCTGACGTTTGTAATCGATGATTTTAGTTTACATGGTTCCGGAGTTACGAAGGTTGACGTGAATTGACTCTATGTAAATGTTGAGTTGCACTAAATTTATTATGGGGGTACTCACGACAACTTCTTATTTCGCATCACAACTCGTTTAGCAGACTTGTGAAGATCATAATATTTCTGTCGTGAGGGGATTCGCAAAATATAACTTGCAAATCTCTCCAATCTCGCAAATCTACTAAAAACCACATATTTTGGTATCGTTTCCATGGATTTCTGTAATTTCTCTTGCTGGCGATGGTGAGGATGAAATAATTTGCGAAATAAGAATGTGGGTTAATTTGCGAAAATAAATCCATATAGTTTTCTTTTGCAAAAAAAAATTTGCGACATCTCGCAAATCTCCGCAAGTCATGTTGCTATGCTCAATTTGTGAGATATGCAAAGGTTGACGTTAGTACGCTTTTTAAAATTTTCAAGTTTCAAAATTTTAAAGTCCAGGAAAAATATGATCTGACCAAGTTTAATCAAATTATGCGTTAACATAATTTTTCTTCGACTTTGAAATGTTACATTTAAAAAAATTACACATCTCTATGTAAGAAAATTTACGACATTTACAAAGTGCTTGCGAAATCTCGTAAATATAGGCAAGGCTGAAGCGTCTTTTCCTTCGAAAAAATATTTCTAGGAATACAAAATCCGAGCACCAAAGTTTCCGATGCTGTTGGGTAAACACAAATGGAGATTTAAAAAATCTCTTAAAAAAGTAATATGTATTCTCGAGGGTACATCTCTAACGTCAACATTTTTATAAATTCACGAATATTGGGGGTTTCACGACCTTTGTAGATGTGGATTCGTGAAAAAAAATATTTACAAAAAAATTGACATGCAAAACGTACCCTCGGAAACAATCCTTTCGTGAAGGTTTCTCGAAATAAATCTTCATTTGTCTTTACCCAACAGTATCGAAAACTGTAGTTCTCGAAATATCCCGATTTTTAATTCTTGCGGAAAATTTTTACGTGAAAAAAGTTTTGTAAAATGGATTTTTCGTACGTGTCGTAAATTTATGCTATTTACGACGTTTACCATAAAGTTACGAAGATCCTGCAAGATCCTGACTTTAATTCGTACTAAATATTTTTACGAAATATCAAAAAGACACATCAACCTTACATATATTTACATATACTAAAACTTATATTACGTCGGTGTAAAATTGGTCGGTAAATAATGCGTCGGTAAACCAATGTCGGCAAGTGGACGCCGGTAAAATAACGTAAACCCATTTCAAAGTCGGAAAAAATTATTTGAAATAAATCTATTAGATTAAAAACCTACTCTAAGCAACTTTGCGGGGCCTTTTAAGATAGCATTAATACCATCTTGGTAGTTAATGGCAACACATTTGGATAGAAATGACCCCCACCGGCCAACCACTCAAACGATTTTGCTCATCTCCGAACTCATCCTTACTTTTTACCCGAAGATGAAGCATGCAAAATTTCAACTCGATAGTTTTTGTTTAAAGAGAGTTATCGTGCCTACAGACGGACGGACAGACGGACAGACAGACATCTTGACAAATCTATAAGGCCATCTTAAAAGGCCTAAAAAGGTTAGATATAATATGTTTCCTTCCGAATATATGGAAATAAATAAATTTTGATTTTTGACCTTGCCAATATTTGCGATACTTTGTAACCTTGGCATTTTCGTAAATGTCGTAAATTTACATTTACCTAAGTTGTTTTTGAAAAAATATTGTAACATTTCAAAGTCGGTTCAAAATTATGTGAAATAAATATATTCGAGTATATAGGGTCAGATATGTTTTCTTCTTTACAGATCAAATTTTTGACCTGGTTTCTATTTACGAAGCTTTGTAACTTTGAAATTTTCTTCGATCTCGTCAATTTACTAAAGTTACGAAAGATGCCGTGAAAACCCTCATTTTTTTAAGAATCCAAAGTTACTTATGTCATGAAAACCCCGACTATTTGTTTGTACAAAAAAATATTTGTAACTTACATCGTTTACCACAAAGCCTTGTGGTAAACGATGTGGTCACCTTTCGTAACTTTGCAAAGTTACGAAAGGTGACGTGAAAATCTTCAATTTTTTTTAAGAATCTACACTTACAAATGTCATGAGTACCCCACCGATTATTACTTTTGTGTTAAAAAATATTCATAAAATCATTAAAATTCAAGCTGTTTACGTCGTTTACCACAAAGTTACAAAAGGTGACGTGAAAACCTTCAATTTTTTAAAGAATCCTTACTTACAAAGGTCCTGAAAACGCCCATTATTACTTTTTTGATAACAAAATATTCCCATTTTCTCCAACAGATTTTTCCGTTTACTCGAAAATTAGATTTTTAATTTAAATTTTCATCAATTTGCATGTCATGTTACGATGTTACGAAGGTCCCGTGAAAACCTCAATGTTTTTACGAATCTATAGCCATGAAAGTCGTGAAAACCCCTAATATTGAAAAAATTTATTCCCATTTTCTCCCACAGATTGGATAGATAGTTCACTATAAAACGATATTTTAAATTTAAATTTTCATGAATTTGGATGGAATTTTACGATGTTAGTAAGGGTGACGTGAAAACCGTCAGTTTTTTACGAATCCATCGTCACAAAGGTCGTGAAAACCCCATTATTTTTGGTATAAAAGAATAATTTCCATTTTGTTTACTACAGATTGGACCGTTTACCCGAAAACGAGACGAATAATCCGTCTCAAGAAGGGTGACATTTTTCGGGTGGAATGTCTCTCGAAAAACGAGACGGTTTTTTTACGAAGTGTTCCCGAATTACGGAGTGAATTGCCAAATTCTGAGGAAGAGAAAGCAGCCCTATTTCACAATCGGGATTTGGTCTCGTTTTACAAAAGTGCTGAAATTCTGTACACGACAAGTTTCCAGGGAAATGATGGAGGAGTCGGGAGGGTCGAGTGTGTAAGGAAAGTGGATAACGCGACCCTGTTCCAGTGGCAGTATCAAGTTTCGAACGGTACGTTGAGTTAATTGAGTTAAAGGAAATTAAATTGAGACTGATTAGATTTCATGGACAGAAAGCGGATATATATTTGTGTACAAAAAATGGCTAAAATATGTACGCAGAAAGCATCATAATACGAAAAACTTCCAAAATTTCTCAACTTTTTCGTATTTTAAAAAATTTCTTGGGTTAAGTTCGTTAAACTTTTGAAATTTTCCACTTTTTTTAATATTAAGTACCAGTCTCAGTATCAAGTTTCCAACGGTACGTGGAGTTAATTGAGTTAAAGGAAATTAAATTGATAGACAGAGTGCGGTTATGTATTGATGAAAAATGGCTGAAATATTTGCACAAAAATCATGCAAATTAGAGTAAACTGGACTAATTTTTCGTCTTTTTGGTAAATTTTATAATTGTTTGGATTGAGCTATTGTAATGTTAGACGACTTTTCTGACATTTTTGCCGTAATTTTGTACACGAAAAGTTTCCAGGAAAACTTTGGAGTCGGGAAAGGCCAGTGTGTGATGAAACTGATGATGCCACTCTGTCCCAGATGCAGTATCAAGTTTCGAACACAGTTAATTGAGTTAAAGGAAATTAAATTGAGGAGACCAATTGGCATTCATGTACGGGTATGCATTTATGTACGAAAAATCGTGGAAATGTTTCCAAAATATGTACGAAAAGAGGATGCAAATAAGAGAAAAACTACTTGGTCTTTTTTTATTTCATAGTATAAGTTGTATCGCAGCGTTTGTGTGAACATCACAAAAAGTATTTCAAAATCTGACTACGCAGGAGTCGCAGAGAAAAACTTATCAACTTTTTTGATTTGTTCGAACATTAATGATTTATATGCTTAACAGAAAAAGTGTGCCAAAAATTTGCAGCAAATTGCGTAGCTATTGTTATCGGACAGAGGGCGGATATGTATTTAAGAAAAGTATTTAAGAAATGTTTAGGGGAAAAAAACATGAAAATAAGAAATCAGTGATTTAACTATGCAAAAAATTAGTAATAAATTGCATAGCTAATTGTTATAAGGCATAGTACGGCTATGCATGTATGTATCTACGAATCATGACTGAAATGTGTAGAATATCTACGAAAAAACGACACGAACGCAAAACATGTACTAAATATTTAAACGTGAAAATAATAATTTTCGCAAAATTTATATTTCTGAATTGAATTGAACCCTCTGAATTTATTGTGGTCCAATTTATTTAAGCAAAAAAATTAATTTCTCCCACCTCGTTGAAATATTTACAAAACATGTGCATGTTTTTGAAAAAAAATATGTAAAAAAAATTACAAATTTTTGAGATAATCTTTATATGTCTGAAAATCTAGAAATTTATGGTAATATGTAAAATTACTTTAAAATTTTCATGATCTACAAAAGTTGAGGAACACACCCACAACATTTGACTGTCCGTCGTCATCAAATGATAAAGCCAAAAATAAATACATAACCGACTTCTATCCCAGACAGGTATTGATTTATCGGTATTAAAGTTGCTCCTACTTGGTATTAAAATTGCACCGGTCCATAAAAATTGGCTACCAATCGAAATGGTACACTCTTAGAAATGGGGTTACGATTATAACCAAAAAGTAAACGTATGTGACTCTACCGCCGTGGTTATGAATTTGTGACCAACTGGTTAATTATTTATTAGTGAAAATTTAATCCCAGGTCGGTGAAACTTTATAATTAGTCGGTGACAATTGTAACCACTCGATGACAAATTTATAACCACGGCGGTAGAGTCACATACGCTTACTTTTTGGTTATAATCGTAACCCCATTTCTAAGAGTGTGAAACTTTTAATACCGAACTATTACTATACGGTATTCCTTATCAATACCACTTTGTTATAGTCATATATGAATACCGCTTGGTATCATTTTAATATATTAGATTTCGCAGAGTTTAAGATAAAATCGATATCTTTCTCCTCATTCCCGTTATTAATATTATCAAGTACCCATTTTTGGCGTACAAATCTACCCGTTTTTTATTTTCTTGCAAAGGAAAATTTCAAATTAAGCGATAATAAACTCATAATAAAATTATTTCCAAATTCTTCCCAAATTTTCTTAATTTCACATCATCTCCCTGGTCGAATTGCAATCTCGAAATCCTAGAAATATGTTACAAGTTGTAAAAATATTTTGAATTTTTTGCGAATTAGGCCATAAAATTTGACCGTAGGTTATCATCAAATGAAAAGGTTTAGATGAATTCATAACCGCTCTCTGGTCTTCAGTCTCACTTTTCGTGTTCCTTTTAATTTTCTCGGTTTCGGTTTCTCCGTTTTAATAAATTTAGAAACGGCCAAATCCGGAGTGCTGGATACCCGTCGGTTTCTTAATTCCTGCCCGACCTTCACCCGCCCAACGAACAATGGAACGCCATCAACCATGCAGAGTGAGGAATTGGACATTGTTTTGTTCGAGTGCGACAACTGGATTGCTTGCAGGATGAGCAAGTGTTTGAGAAATGTGAGAATTTAGATAAGTACATTCATTTGTCAAGTGTTTCGCAACAGTGGCCGCGGAAGCGGGGGGACAGAGGGACAATGTCCCCACGGTTATTCGATATCCGCATTATATGCCCAAATTATACAAACCCTTCCCTCCCTCATCCAACAGTGTTAATGTCCCCCGATGTCCCCACAGCTTCCGCAGTCACTGTTTGGAAGAGAGAGAGAGAGAGAGGAAGGCCTTGGAAGCAGTGGCCGCGGAAGGGTGTGGACAATATCCCCACGGTTATTCGATGTCCCCATCATCTGCCCATGTTATACAAATTCTTCCCTCCCTCCATTCTAGAATGACAATGTCCCCCGATGTCCCCACAGCTTCCGCGGTCACTGCCAGTCAGAATAACCTTTTAAGCGTTGACATTGAACTTTCTAAGTATGTGCAGGACTCGACCTGTGTTTCGAACAATCACTGCGTGAAGACGTTGTGCATGCCGAATGGGATTATACAATGTCCTTCAGTGATGGGAGTCCACGCGGAAATTTTCTTTACGGGATTCAACGGCGTGAAATGTATGTAAAATTTTATTTTAAGTCAGATTCCCGGGGAATTTAAGTAGACAATAATAGGATTTATGCCAATTTTGGTCAGAATTTGAATTGATGACAACATGTTTAAGGAATTTATGCCAAAATATTTCCCGAATTTTTATTCAACTTTAGCCTGCCATATTTCTAATGTGGGAAAAAAGAGTGTGAAATTTTTCAGATACAAACTGGAAATCTGCAGAGACGAAGGACATCCTCAGAATTGTGCCAATAATGCCGCAAAAATCGTCTCGTCATCCATCTGTAACGTTAAAATGTGAAGGGACAAGTTTCGTCGTGTCGGGTGGGTTTAAATGGTTTCTAAAATTCGAGAATGGAACGATCCTTGACAGCCGGGCGTTTTCAAGTGGTATGAATTCGCAACTTTCTAAAAATATATTCTGCTCATTTCGCAATTTTGTCAATTTCAAGAATTACATTATATCATTTAATTTGTACTTTCGCCAATTTCTAGAATTGTATTCTACCCACGAATTTGCACATTCGCCTCACCAACTGAAATTTGCACTGTAAAAATGCCTGAGAATTTGCAATTTGGCAAATCTCTAAAACTTTTAAAATTTCTAAACACTCACATCTTGCCCTTGAATTTGCACCCTTGCTAATTTTTAGAATTGCATGCTGCCCATGAACTGGCATCGTCAATTTATAAGATTACATGCTACCTATGAATGTGCACCTTCATCGACTAATAAACTGAAAATTGCACTCTAAAAATTTCTGCGAATTTTTTCACGCTAAAACACCCATGAATTTGCACCACCTAACCCAACTACTGAAGTTTGCAATTTTAAAAAATACAACTGAATTTTCAGAAACGACCACTCTCGAAACGTGGGGCGATACAAAATCCATCCTGCGAAACAGTCTCACTTTCTCCCCCGACTTTTCCCCAGCCTCTTTGGAATCCTTCATTTGCTCCGCTCCCGTCTGGAATTCGACCGACTGGATCAACGCAACGGTACAAATGAGGGATGAAATTGGCCCACTTGTGCGAAAAGGTGAGAACATTGAGGTCTTCACGATGTGGGATTTTTGGTAGTTGAAATACGCGAAAGAGAGCAAAAATATGTTTTGAAGAGTGGTGCGAGGAATCGAACCCCGCGTCTCCCGTTTCCCGGACGGACACCTTTACCACTAGGCTAACCGCCCTTCTTCACATCTATCACTCTCTTTTACAACTACCAAATTCCACGTATTCTCTCCTACAACGACCATCGTAACTGTAGATTTGTAAATACAATTTTCTTAAATTTACAAATCGTTGACGTACCTTCGTAAATAATACTTTCGTAAATGTTTTTAAGAAAAGTTGTCAATTTGTCTTATCGGAAACTTTGGTGCAGGAAATATATCCTGACTTTCTTACTTCCCACGAAATATTTTTATGAAAGAAAAACACGCATATCAACCTACATTTACGAAACTTTGTAAGCATAGAATTTTCGTAAATGTCATAAATTTACAATGATCTGCGTTGTTTTAAAATTACACTCAAAATAAGGTAGTAATGAATCATTACCATGCGGAATGACTATGTGGCTCTACCACGTCGGTTACGATTTGTCGTAGAAATGGTAATAATAAGTTCAGGGAAATTCAAATTTAATACATAATGGTATTAACTTCCTTAATATTTGGTAATGAATTTGAATTTCCCTGAACTTATTGTTATCATTTCTACGATAAATCGTAACCGACGTGGTAGAGCCACATAGTCATTCCACATGGTAATGATTCATTACTACCTTATTTTGAGTGTATGCAAAACAACTATATTCGAGTAGACTTGGTAAGATATGTATTTTTCGGCAAATTTTGAAGTTTCGAAATTCTTATCTTGCCCACATTTACAAAGCTTTGTAAGCATAGAATTTTCCTAAGTCTCGTAAACTTGCTTATCTATTTGCCTACATGTACTTTGTTTTTTGAAAAAGATTGTAGTATTTTAAAGTCAGAAGTAGATTATGAGAAACAAATATATTTAAGTAGACTTCGTCATATATGTATAACTTGGCCACGTATGTATTTTTGGCAAAATTTTGAAGTTTCGAAATTTTGAAATTTTGACCTTGCCTATATTTACGAAGTGTGCAATTTTCGTAAGTGTATTAAATTTACGTTATTTACGACGTTTACCACAAAGGTGACGTGAAAATGCTTAATAATAAGAAGTTCCGGAAAAAATGGTGGATTTTATTTAACACGTGCTTTTCTAATGGTTATTAGCAATGCGAGAAAATACGCCAAGGAATTCTTCCGTCACGTGCCTGGTGCCTGTCTGGATTTGGATTTTGTGCTCATTTAATTCATTTTTGTAATGTGTCACGTATTTATTTATTTTGGAAAATTGGATAAAAAGAAAAAATTTATTTAGAATGAGTTCGTGCCTCGATTCGTATTTATTTGTTATTTTCATCGCTTTTGGAATTTTGGAGTTCTGGTCACATCGCATCCCGTGAAAAACAAGGGGAATCAATATTGACCCAATTTTCAGCAGCAAATTGTTGGTTGGTTGCAGTGGCCGCGGAAGGTGTGAGGATATCGGGGGATATTAACATTGTAGGTTAAGGGAGGGAGGGGTTTGTATAAGCTGGGGAGATGATGCGGACATTCATGTTCAAGAAATATTTATTCATTCAAGGTTCATTCATTCAAAGCCTTGAAAGAAAATATTCATTCCTTATTTCATAAGTTGTAAAAAAAATATTCATTAATTATTCAACATTCCTTCATTATTCACCATTCCTTCATTATTCATGTTATTCAAAATTCACAGTATTAGATGAATTTCTCAACTTTCCCTATGTATTAAGCGTTGAGTTAAAAATGAATGACGAAAAAAATATTTATTCTTTATTCATTCACACGAATTGATTAGATATGCACTCAATATTCATTTATTCAAAAATCAGAATAAAATATTCATTCAAATTTTGAATATTGAATGAATAATTTATTCATTCATCATTAAATGAATGAACGTGAACATGTATGGATGTGGACATCAAATAACCATGGGGACATTGTCCCTCTGTTCCAACACGCTTCCGCGGCCACTGTGCATCGCACTACATATGTAGCCAGGGACCGCAAAAGCCTTGGGGACATTAGCGCAGTGAGATATGTAGGGGTTTATATAACATTGGCATGCATGATTCCTTGCGGACATTGAATAAACCGTGGGGACATTGTCCCTCTGTCCCCACGTTTCCTTCCGCGGCCACTGGTTGGTTACGGATGGCGATTGTCTTTCACTTTAACAAATCGTCGTCGGCACATCGATTGCATTGCAGCATGGCTTACTCAATCCTTACAAGTTACGTGAGCTCTTTTGTTTTTTTGAGCCCAATTTTCGAGAGAGAGAGAAAGTCTTTACATTCAATTTACTTGATGTCCTTCCTTCCGCCCGTCTCGTCGGGGATGTGCAGTGGCCGCGGAAGCTGGAGGGGACAGAGGGACAATGTCCCCATGATTATTCAATGTCCGCATCTTATGTACATAAACCCCTCCCTTATACTATATTAATGTCCCTACGGCTTCCGCGGTCACTGGGTGCGTGTCCACTTGGTCGCTTGTTTTTAAGGACATCCGTTTAAAGAGAGTGATGGAGAAATTGGTTGGTTGTTTGCACTCTGGAAATTTGGGCGGACGAATTTACTCCAGTTTGAAATGTGAGACGGATATGTGTTTACTTTTTGTTGTGCAGCTTTTATTTTTTTATAGGGAACGATCCTATGAAAATGTGGACGTGTGGAAAATTGGACCAATTTTGGGTGCAGAATTTATAAATTTTTCCATGTAGGTATACTGCAGAACAAATTGTGGAACTTGACATTGTTGCGAAAAAAATTCTGGCGAAACAATCTCTTTTCTAGATTTTTTATAGGGAAAACGTGCCACTTTTGTGCAGAATTCTGCACAAATGCGCTTCATTTTTTGCGGGCTGCTTTAACAGTTGGGGAAATGCTTTATGATGAAAAATGTGTACATTTTTGGGCCCGTCAAATTTTCGCAGGACATGGCCTCACTAATTTCGGTGAAACCGGGTAGAAAGTATTTTCGCTCGTGGATGATTGACGTGTACATTGACGTGAATGAGTTAAATTGGTAAATAAAGGAAGGAATAAATGAATGAATGATTTTTTAAAATTTTGAAAATGATTTGAATGAGAACATATATTTTGAACAGGTAGGTATTTATATTTATGACATATACATCGATGTAAATAAATATGTGTACGTGTGTAAGTATTTTCTTATAATGAAGACACCCAATACCACGACCAGAATGAGGAAGAAACTGATAGGAAATTGCTACGTCGGTCGGAGAAGTATCAAATTTTGCCAATATTTATAGATAAAGAACGTCCGGGAATGAATGGGAATGCGCGCTCTAGCGAGTATATTGACAAATCAATAAACCCGCGAACTATAATAATTTAAATTTCTGAAAGCCCACTTCATTAGGGTCAATTTGGTATATCACTCTTAAATTTCAAAAATGGATAAGGGTAGAAGAAGCTTGTTTGAAAGGGAGCTGTTAGCAAAACGAGTGATGGAGTTCTACAACATGACAGCCAACCGAGACTCCAAGGTGACCTGGAACTTTTTTAAGCAGGAAGGAATTCCAAGTTCAAATGTGTATTCCTACATAAAAAAGTTCAAGGATTCCGAAAATGTGCAACTCAAGAAGCCAGCTGGTCGTCCGGCGAAGCTAGCGACCACTCGAGTGAAAAATAGAATTGAAAAAATTTTCAAAACCAAACCATCAACGTCAGTAGCTGTAGCTGCCAGGAAAGTCAAAATTTCCAAAAGCTACCTGGGGGAAATTAAGGTCCATAAATTAGGAATCAAAGCAAGGACCAAAAAACCTGCACCAAATTACAAGCCCGTACAAGAAAGTCGGATCAAGGATTGCTGTCAAAAATTGTTGAAGAAAATGCATGGAAAAGTAGTGATCCTGGATGACGAAACGTATGTTCCGGTTGACCCTTCAAATCTTCCAGGGCGTCATTTTTTTCATAGCTCGGATCCCTCTGAAGTGGCTTATGAAGAAAAAGTACGAAAAAAAGACAAATTTCCAAAGAAATATTGCATTTGGCAATGCATCTCCAGTCACGGACATGTATCAGACCCGGTAGTTCTCGAAGGGAATATCAATCAAGATATTTATCTGAAAAATTGCGTCAAGGCTGGATTGGAAGCATTTATTAATAGGTTTCACAAAAATGATAAAGTTTTGTTTTGGCCTGACCTCGCCACTTGTCACTTTGCAAAGAAAGTGACCGAGTACCTCAGAAAGAAAAATATTGATTTCGTACCAAAAGATATCAACCCACCTAATGTACCCCAACTCCGCCCAATCGAAAAATTCTGGGCACGTTCTAAGTCAGTATACTCCCGGCTTCAAGATGTGCCTGACACCTTTCGAAAATTCAAAGGACGATGGAAGAAAATCACCTCGGAAGTGGCAAAAACTTCGGGAAAAAATTTAATGAAAAATCTTCGCAAGAAAATCGAACTAGTCGCCAACGGGGGTGTGGCGGCCTTAGCTATTAATTAAATTATGTAGGTACGTATTTGGTATTATACATATGCAAAAAGTTTAAAATTCCGATAACTCATTGTGATTTTATGACCACATTTTCAGACCATTCCCATTCATTCCCGGACGTTCTTTATTTCGTGTCTGTAAGCTTATTTGGTTTTGGCTTTTTAGATACTCTGCCGGAATCAATATCTAATCTTGTCCTGCTGCTTTTCTCCTTTAGTCTCGTCCATATTGACAGTGGCCGCGGAAGCTGTGCATGGGGACATGTGGGGACAATAAAATTGTGGGATGGGGGGATGTAGGGGTTTATATATAACCTGGATAAACAGGTGATGGGGACATTGAATAAATGAGGAGACATTGTCCGGGACAAATTGTCCCCCCTGTCCCCACGCTTCCGCGGCCACTGGTCCACACCCACACAAAAGGCGGTGGAGACGAGCGAAGAGGAGCCATATTCATGAAAATATCTTTTCATCAAGAAACTTATGTACGATCAGTTTCCTGATCTAAAATATTCCGCTCTTCTTGCTTAACTTTTGGGACTGGGCTGACTTTCTCCTGACATTATTAAGTACAGGCTGGTTCCTGAGCGTCACTCTGCTTTCTCCAGGAAAAGAAAAGGTAATAATAATATCCTGGGAAAAGACCAGGGTTTCTATCGAGTGGGAAAATCACTGTAGCAATTACTACTGTGATTAAGTAGTAATTAGTACTAATTAGCTGGTAGTTACTACTGTGATTAACTGATAAGTATTACTTTAATTTATTACAATTAATTAGTAATTATCCCAGCGTAAATAACTCGTAAATGATTATGGTAAATAATTTGTGAAGAATTTGGAAAATGCGTTTCAAGTATAACAAAATTGTTGACTGTAACTCACACTGCGATTAATTTCACTTTCTTGAAATTTTAACGAGTTTTTAATTTTCTTAGTTTTTAATTTTTAATAATTCGAATTTTTAATTTTTTTCTTGAATTTGCTTAACCAAATTTTAATTGCAACGTGCCCGATAAAGAATGATATTTGGGCCATGGCTTGTGTCTGGGAACTCTGGGAAAACTTGGAAAAAATTTGATGTGGGAAGTATACTTCGGCCCACCCTTGGCACAAAGGTGGTATGCCGAATGTTCACTGTGGACCACGATTGGCCCGTAGTTGAAATCCCAAGTTTGGTTTTATTATGCATACACACATACGGGCCATACAAAATATTTACCAAATTTCCCGAAAATGAAATTGTAAATGCGGCCCAGAAATGGGACGTAGTAGATTTGCCCCAAGTCTGGCACAGTCCGGGATATCGTGCTTTGGCCCCGATGATCCAATCCCATCGTTGGCCCACGTTCCTTTGGCTAGCTGCTGGCCCTATCATTTTGGTGCGCTCGTGATTAACAAATTAGGTTTAGTTTTTTCACGTTGTCGTCGGGAAGCAAGATGTCTTCTCCGCACTTTTCGTCGAAGTTTTCAGTCGTAGAGTTTTTAGAGGAAAAGTCTTTTGCCGCTGTCCCCTCAACTTGCTTGTCTGAAGAGGACGATAAGCAAATGTGCTATTGGCCTAAGGTGTAAAGCTTTTGGAATTGCTCCATTACTCAGAAAGTAAGCCCAAGTCAACTTGGAAAAACTTGGAGGTGAAGATTTTTCGATCCTTTGGAAGTGGTAAGTAAATCATATTTAGCAGTAATTATGTACATTGTAATATGAGAAAACATTATTATATTTAACCATATTTATAGATGACTACAAGAGAGCTAATTCGAATGTGGACGAAGCAAGATTTTTGAGTTCTGGCGAAACACAATCAAGCTCCAGTGACTCGGAAA